ACGTATATGCTTTGGCCCTGCAGGTCTACTTACAGGAATGTCTCCCATAGAGACATTTACCCACATGCCAGTTGAGCACGTACATGGTTATTCTTTTCAGCATTTTGTAGCGGCCAAAGATTTGAAATCTCTATCCTTTCAATAGAATCCATTTAAGCAGAAAGGTATGGAGCATAACAATATACAGGAAGACTCCATTTGTGTTAAAAAGGGGAAGTACATAGGCATTGTGTGTGCGTTGGTATCTCTGGAAGCTTGTACAAGAACCTGCTGAGAGCAGTTGCTTCCCAGGAGGGGAATTCAGGGGGGGCTACGGCCAGTGTGGACAAAGGAGTTTGTGCTCTACCTTTACGTTTTATTTTTCCTTTTACCAGTTTTTCAAAATGTAAATGTTTGAATAGCTGATGCAGTCACACTTAGAAACTATAAAGTGTGGTCATCTTTGTAGATGTTGAAGGTTTGACAAAATTTCCCATATAGACAATTTGAAGGCAAAGTCTTTTGTTATGAGGCGTCACATATCCACTAAATCTATGTATTTCAGTCTCAAGCCACTCTTGACCTTAAAGAGCATGCTTTGGAAGCATCCCCTCTAAAATCAAGAACATCTTGTCCATTTTTTACTTTTATTTAACTTCCTTGTAGAGTTATTAGCCAATGCAGTTAGACAAGAAAAATAATTTAGAAGTGTGAACATTGAAAAAGAATAGGAAAAATTCATATTTGTTGAAGCTCATGCACACATTATAATGTGTACCTAGAAAAACCAAGAAAAGTAACTGAAAAACTACTGTATCCTGTAGGAGGAATCAGGAACAAAGTATAAAAGCAATGAACAGAAACTAGTGCAGTAAATCCTCGATTAACTTTGTGGATAGGTTCTACAATTTTAAGTGAAATGACTTAAAATGAAACCAATCTTTCTGCAGGCTAATTACGTATACCTCCAACTAATATAACTAATATAATATTGTATACCAACTATACTCAGATTTTAAAAACACCATAGGCTAATTGGTATCTATTAATAAGGATTAGGTTCCTAGGAAATTGCACTAATGATATAATCAAATGACATTGAACTAAAGAACATTATTGGAGGACCTGCTATAGTTTTCAAACAAAAGCCAGTTTGAAGATAAAGTGATAGCAGAAAAGATAGTAATAAAAGAGAGATGCTTTTAGGAATACCGTTAATAAGAATCTCCTGAAATGTGTTGGAAGAACACTTGAAAGCATCCAAAGGAACTTGGAAGGCAGCTAGGTGGAAGGCTCACCTGTGTTTTAAACATCCTACATGTTCTACAATAAAGACAAAGAAAGCCCTACCTAGTGTGGTGGATGCTTTTTCAGCCAGTCGCAAAAGTAAGCTGAGTACATGGTCAGTGTGGTGGGAATCCCTGACCTCTCCTACCCTTGTCCCCAGACAAAGGCCTTCATCCACCATGAGCTGCTGGCCTACTTATACTCGTCAGCAGACCAGACCAGCCTCATGGAGGAGTCAGCTGACCAGGCCCAGAGGAGGGATGACATGCTGCGCATGTACCACGCACTCAAGGAGGCGCTCAACATCATCGGGGACATTAGCACCAGCACTGTATCTACGCCCGTGCCCCCGCCTGTTGATGACACCTGGCTCCAGAGCACCAGCAGCCACAGGTCTGTGAGGCCTAGACGCCCGCTTGCTGTAGAGGCTGCTGCCTGGGGGTTCCTAGCTCTTCTCCCAACCCACGGGTGGGCAGGGTAAAGGGGCCCAACACAGATAGCACAGCACCCAGGGCTAGTCACAGAGGGAGTTGCTAGCCCACCTCAACCTGAAGGACTGGGAGGGAAAAGGGTTAAAGACCAGCCTGCCTCCTGGTGCCTCCCCTTGCTTCAGCACAGTGAAAGCCAGGGAGGGCAAGGGGCCTGGGCAACACAGCCGGGGTGGGGGTCAGCCTCCTGGGGCACAGAGCACAGCGAAGCATGATGAATGGGAAGGATCTGGACAGCCAAACAGAGGATGTAACCAGCACATCTCTTCCCTGCGACTGCCCCCAAGCTGTTGGGTGGAAATGAGACCCTGGCGCGGGTAATTCAGAGTAGCTGGCAGGGAAACCTGACCAGTGCAAGGGCGGGCAAGTGGTGGGAGGAGAGAGCAGGATGGGTCAGGGAAACCTCATGGAAGGTGTCAGCTCCACTGACACCTCAGGGAACCACAGCTACTTAGCGAGAGAAAACAGCATCCAGCCTGGGGAGCAGCAGGTGCTCAGGCCCAGGGGTATCCCGTGGGCCACCTGGGGCATGGGCTCGCGACCTCTGGAATTCATTTGTAGAGTAGAGCTGGGCTTTGGTAGGATTTGCAACTATGGAGGGTGAATTGGAGGAAGCACGGAGGTTGGGAGACCCAGGCAGGGCCAGTGAGAGAGAAATGTCTGAAAGTGAAGTCAGAGGGAAGCAGGAGCCCTTGGCGAAGGACAGATTTTGGGTGGGAGGACAGCCCTCTGTAGCAGGTCTAGGGGGCGGGCAGATGAGCCCAGTTTACCTGCACTGCCCCTTGCCCAGGATCAGGTGCTCACCCACATCTCCCGGGGCAGTAGCTGGTGCCAGCCTGTTACAGAGGCAGCTACCTGGCCCGCTTCAGGCTTCTGTATCCAGGCTGGCATGGCTGGTGCTCCTGACCACTGTTTTCAGCTCACATTTTCTTTCTTCCACAGCCCCACTCCACAGCGCCGACCCGTATCTGGCGTGCATCCCCCGAGCCGGCCCCCAGCAGTGAGGGGCTCCACCCCAGGGCCTCCCCTGATACCCGTGCCGGTGGGGGTAGCAGCCTCCTTCTCAGCACCTCCCATCCCATCTCGGCCCGGACCCCAGAGCGTGTTTGCCAATAATGACCCCTTCTCGGCCCCGCCTCAGATCCCATCTCGGCCTGCTCGGATTCCACCCGGCATCCCCCCCGGAGTGCCCAGGTAAGTCTGGCCCCCTTAATGCCCTGCAGAGTCACCGGTCTGCATCCTGCAGGGAATAGAGGAGTCACCAGCATCTGCACTTTACTGGTGGGGAAACAGGCCAAGAGAAGCCCAGTTGACTGCCCAAAGTCATGGAGTGGTGGAGTCAGGTGACTCCAAGGCTCCAAGGTTGTCCACACGGCTTGGGACCCTCACACAGGGTTTTGGCTTTTGCTTCCTTATTCAGGACACACATCAGTTATGGCATAACCCTGCCCTCCTCTCCCCACCTTGCAGGCCAGGCTGTCTTCTCCCCACTTGTCCAATGAGGAACCTGAGGTTCAGGGTTGGTGGGGGACGTGTCCAGGGTCACAGAGCAAGCGACTGAAGGGGTACCAAGGCCTAAGCTTGGCAAACTCCTTCCTGGCACCTTGGCAGCCTTCCTTCAGAGCATCTAGCAAAGGGCAGCAACCTGGGAAGGGGTGGTGGGGCCTGGGTCGTCGTCGTCGTCCTGCTTGCAGCCTCACTGCCGTCTCCCCCTCCCTGTCTGTTTTTATTCTCTTTGCAGCAGAAGACCCCCGGCTGCCCCCAGCCGGCCCACCATTATCCGCCCAGCCGAGCCGTCCCTGCTCGACTAGGCTGCGGGGCTTTTTCGCGGGGGTTTCTTGTGCGCCCTTGGTGCAGGAACTTCAGTGGTCCGGGCCCCTCTGCCGCCCCGGCCCTCCCACCCCTGTGCCAGGACCAGGCTTCCCCGACTCTTTCCTAACCCTGGCCAGTCAGGGGCTGTCCTGGTCCCCATCCCCAGCTGGATACAGCACTGAATGAAGGGGCCCTGGAGCCCTAGTGTGGGAGGACCGTGGGTGTTGCACTTTGGGGGATGAGGCATTGGGTAGCAGGGGAAGGAACTGGACCCCCGAGCACCACCTTCGGTGAGGGATCCCAGTTAGTATGGGTTAGACTCACCCAAGGGCTCCTCTGGCCTAGAAAGCCTGAGTAGACCAGGCCTTCTGGAAACTGGGCACCAAGGACACCTGTACCCCTAGTCCTTGTTGGGGTGCAAGTAATGTATCCACTTCTCAGCAGCAGGAGGTTCTGGTGGCAAGCCAGGAATGGGTCCAGTGCTGCCTGCCCTGCCCAAGTTGTACATACTCCTTCCTTGGTCGTATTAACCACACGGCCCAGCCTTGGCTGCCAGAGGTGCCTTTGCCAGGTCCAGAATCCTCAGCTCTCCTGGCCTTACTCTTTCTCTTCCCTCAGCCCCTCTCTCCTCCTGGGTCCCCAGAGCGGCTGGGCTCAGGGCTGAGTGGATAAAGAGACTGGGGGTCCCGTGGCTCCTACCCAGGCCTCCCACACGGGGCGGGCCCCAAGTGGCCGCTTTCTGAGCAGACCTCGCTCACTGCTCGCTCGGTTTGACCACTGTAAGTGCCTGCACTCTGTATCCTATTAATAAACTAAAATAAAGGGAAGAAGCTTCTGGTGGCTGCTGTGTGGGCTTTTGTGTTGGTGTTCAGGCAGAGGATGTGGGCTGCTTGCTTTCCCCCAGGAAGCCTCCAAGTAGGACCCCACCCTTCCCACCATGGGCTCCCCAACACCTCACTCATGGGGGCTCTGCTCTTTTGGGGAGGATTCATTTCTTCCAGAGGAATCCATGCTCTAGAAGGGAGAGCTTTTACTTTCCTTAAGACCTCAAGAGTTGAGACAAATACCCCCCACCATCTCACCTCACTACACAGAGGCCTGGAGGGGGCATCAGAATCACTGAGTGGAGAGGGAATCCTAGCCCTCCGCCCCAAACTGTGCAGTGGTCAGGCCCTCTCTCCGCCTCAGAGTCCTGAGCACTTCCTACAAGTCCCCTCTTCCCCGTCAGGGCTCCAGGCCTTCTGGCCCAGCCTGGGACACAGTTCAACTTTGCTTTCTGATTTTTCTCTTATGCCCAGGCGACCACCTCCATCGGCTCCTGCCAGACCCTTCTTCTGAGCTTCGTGGGAGATCCCTCCCGCCTGCCTGGCTGCCCTCTTGGGGGCAGGTCTGATCTGGCTCGTGTCCCTGAGCCCCAATCACCAGGCTCTGTGATTTTCTGACCATAATTTATTGGCTACGGTCCCCAGGCCAGACCGCCCTTTGTTCTGTGAGGCTCCTGTGCAGGCTTTGGCCAGGCCACCCCTCAGAACTGTCTTGGGCCCCTGCAGGGGGAGCAGGAAGGGCAGGTGGTCTTGGAGGCTCCGCTCCTGGAATTCTGTTACCGGACCTCACACCTAGCCCATGCTGGGCCGAGGGGCCGGCTCCTTCCTGTTAATAAAGTAACTGTCCTGGCAAGAACACTGCAGCTGAGTTTCCTTCCCAACCCCTGGCATGAGCAACACCCTCAGCAGCAGCAACAGGACATAGGTGGAGCAACAAGGAGAGGATGGAAGGCAAGGGGCCCCATGAGCAAGAGGCCTCCCACCACCACCACCTGGCTCATAGGGCCAATGGGGACGGGAAGGGGAAGCTTGCTTCCTGGGCCCCACCCAGCACCAGGCAATGGTGGTGCAGCTGGGAGGCTGAGGCTAAGGCACATTTACAGCAGGAGACAGAGGTGGGGCCAGGGAACCCCAGGGCTGCATCCAAATGCTGCAGTGCCCATCCCTGACCCCACATGCACAATTTCCAGGAAAGCAGACGCAGCCACTGAGCCACCCTTCTGGATGGCCCAGACCTGCAAGCCAGCCAGTGTTCTGGTGCAGAAGGGAAGACACACAGGGGCCACATCTCAAGCCCAGAATGTATGGCTTCCCCTCGCTAGGAACTAAGATGGTGAAGGGACCCCCCGCAAGTCTTACACACATGCACCCTGCTGTCCCTTCTTTTCCCTGTTCTTCCTTCGGGGCAGGGGCTACGTAGGCACAGGGCGCTTATCCTGAAAGAAGCGCTTGAGTGTGCAGACCTGCAGCACAGCCACTAGCAGCAGCACAGCCACGTTCACAGCCGACCAGAAGTTGACCCGTTCCAGGTTGCCCTCCTGCAGGTTGCGGTCACGTGCCTCAAAGGCTCGCAGCAGTGTCAGCATCTGGATGCTGCGCTCCAGACGGGTCCTCATGGTCTCAATAGACTCCTGTGGAACAAGGGAGGATCAGGGTCAGGCCTCTGTCCTTTGGAGAGCAAACACCAATGAAATGAGGAAATGTGAGAGTCCATGTTGCAGGAGGACAGAGAGCTGAGAGCAGACTCTGCCCAGGCTGCCTGCCTGAGTCTTAACTCATTCTGCCACTCACTGGCTGTGAAAACATGAGCAAATTAATTAACCTCTCTGGACCTCAGTTCCCTCTTCAGAATTGCTATGAAAACTGAATGCTTAAATAAGTGTAAAGAATGTATTTACTAGTGATAACAGCACGGTTGCTGAAGCCAGGCTGCCTGGGTTCAACTACTGGCTCTGCCAGTTGCTAGCTGTGTTTTCTTATGACAATTATTTAGCCAGCTTGTGCCTCAGTAAAAGAGGGAATGATTTGAGGACAGTAGTTCATAGGATGTTTATGGAGATTTAATAAGTTATATAACCCCTTAAAATCAGGGTTCACACCTAGAAATGTGGTAATTTTTTTTGTGAGCTGCTACAATTAATACAAGTTGGGGGCACTGCTGCTAGGAGAGGCTAAGTCAGGCTAAGGAGGACTCTAGCCAAGGCTGGAGGTCAGGGACACACTGCGGCCCAATGCCAGAGATCTGGTAGGAGTCACGCCGTCTCAGCCTGGACATACCTTGATGTCCTCCATCTTGACATCCAGCATCTCCTCAGGCTCCACGACCTCTGCCCAGCCTTCGACCTCCTCATCGTCCTGCAGGCTGTCAAAGATGAGTTCGAAGAACACCAACTTCTCGGAGATTGTGCTGAACGAGTTGTCAAAACACAGCTTGTAGTCCCCAGCCTCCGTAGGTTCTATCCTGGGTAGATAGGCAGACACACAGATATGACCCTGAATGGCCACCACCGGACTTTGGGAAACACACAGGGCGGTAACCGGAGGCTGCTGGGGAGGGGCAGGGCTGTAACCGAACCCCAGCAGGCTGCGGGACTGAACTCACGTGTGCACCCCATCTGCCTTGCGGGACTCACTGACCAGCAGCACGCCCTGAGGGCTCTCCAGGGTGAAATCCACATCCAGCCCAGCACCTCCGATCACCTGGGGGGACAGGTAAGAGCAGTTGAAGGGCTAGGGATAGGCCAAGAGCACCTACCAGAGAAAGCCAGGGTTGGATAACTGCGCAGACCCAAACAGACCACTAGGGACCTACCTGGGCACTGACACCCACACCTGCAACCGGGTCCTGTCCCCACCCGTTCTTCGGGCCGCGATCTGTGCCAAGGCTGCGCCCTCATTGATTTGCCAGCTTTAGGATCGACTCTGGTAACACTCCCGTCGGAAGTCCTTGATCGGCTTTTACCTGGCCACGCCCCTGGCTTGCCACGCCCCAAATGAGACTACCGGTCCAGCCTTTAGCCCAAGGCCCCCCAAAATTCTGTTGATCACGCCCTTTCTTGCAGCGCACCCTGACCACGCCCACCAGCCCAATCTTACACGACTTGGCCACACCCACGGCAGAGTCCGACACTATGAAGGCCTCTATTTTTCCCGATGGCCCGCCTCCCGGCTGTCACTCTGGCCCCGCCTTCGTCCATTATTCCCACCCCTTCCGCTCCCACGCGTTGTGCCCGCCCCCTCCGTCTGACTCAGGTCCCTCCCCCACGCTCTTTCGCACAGGCTCCTTCCTGCCCCTTCCCTCTCAGGAAAGCCTCGCCGTAGCTACGTGGCCACGCCCCCTCCTCTTGCCTCCGCTCGCTCTCCGGCCCGGGACCCTCTACCTGGTACTCGGTCTCGAGGCTTGCGTTGGCAGGAGCAGACTGGTAGAAACACTGTTTCCTCCCCGCAGGCAGCAGGAACGTGAACTCGCCGTCCTGGATCGGTGGGGGCCCTGCCCCTCCCACCTCCACTGACAGCAGTAGTAGCCACAGAGCCAAGGTTAGGGCCGCACCGGCCGCCATCATCTAGATCATACTCGCGTCTGCTAACGGGTAGCGGCTCCTTTAAGGGCTAGACCTGCCCCTCTGCTATTCGACGAAGCTCATTGGCAACCGCTTCTGCCCGTTTTTCGAAACCAGCAGACTCAAAAGTGAAGGCCCCCTAGTGTATGTGGCTGCCCAAGTGAATGCCTGATGTCCCCGAAAACATTCAACCTTTTAGAGGCATTATTGTATGAAAGGCCTCAACTTTTAGTCTCAATTGCTGGTGAAGGAAAAAATAAGTACTGTAATGGTGTGTTCCTCTCAGGCCGACATAAAGACAACTAAGGTAGAGGCGGCCGGGTCCTTCTAAGGCACAGTCTTGCGGATTTTCAAAGGTGGAGCACGACGACCGTTGGACTATCCCGTCTGTATGGAGCTAGGCCAAAATAGAGGCTGGGCGTGCCCCTGCACGCGAACTGAAGGTCTCATGTATAAAAGGCTCTACTGGGGTAGGGTGGAGAGTTTTTCATATTGACCGGTGTATCACGTTATCCCTGGTCTCTGAGCAGAGCCTGAGCTTCGAAGCCCGACTTCCTATTCCCTTTGCGCCTTAGAACCATCACTCTATCAGTTTCCTCTTCTGTAAGTTGGGGGTGATGAGAATTGAGTGAGATGAAGCCCTGGTCCATAGCGAGCTCTCTTTTTCTTACATAGTCACTAGAGGGGCGTGGCCCGAAACGGCCACCCAAGGGTCTCAAATTTGGGGGCCAGATGGTATGCAGAATGATTCCAGTGGCCCAGGGTAAGAAAAACGAAACCCAGGTTCTTAGAATCAGCAGAGAAGAGATGGAGAGTGTGGGCCTGAGAGCCAAAATGAGATAATGCTTGTTTAGTGCTTGACACGTCGTAGACCCTCATTATCTGTTACATTCTAGGTTTATCATCCAACCATTTAACCTCCTCCTTAGTCTGTCTTAGAGGATTTGGAGACGACCTCCCTCTGGGAAGCAGACAAATAAGCAAAGAAGTCATTGGAGGAATGGACTCTGCTTGGTGATTCCGTATAAACATAAGAAAAACTGTTTAGACGGAAATTTTGAGTCTTTAAAGATAGTACCGGGAGAGGTTGGCAGATGGTGACAATTACTCTTCAAATACAGCTGATGGCTGTCAGCATCTTCCTGCATTTGGAGAACTTGGGGAAGTTACGCCACTTTGTAATGTCTGAGTTTACATTTACGTATGGTTGTGCTTGGTATTTTGTTTCACTAGTATCTCTATCATTCAGACTCTCCTTGGACATTTTGTGGAGAAAGAGTGATTTTTTTAATGGATTTATTTAATGAGTATGTTTATGTAGTAAACATTAGTACATAAAATTAGCCATTTTACAGGGAATAATTCAGTGGCAATTAGTACATTCACTATGCTGTGCAACCACCACTTGTACCGACTTCCAAAACATTTTCATCAGCCCAAAAGAAAAGAAAACCCTGTACCTGTTAAGCAACTATTCTTCATTCCCCCATTCACCTCAGCTTCTGGCAACTGCCAATCTGCCTATGTGGATTTACAGATTCTGGATTTCTGATAGAAGTGGAATGTGTGACCATTTGGCTAATTTCACTTATAAAATTTATAAGTGAATTTATAAATTAACATAATATTTTCAAGGTTCATCATCATGTATCAATATTTAATTCCCTTTTTGGCTGAGTAGTATTGCATTATATGGATTATCACAATTTCTTTAACCATTCACCGCTGATGGACATTTGGGTTGTTTCTACCTTTTGTGTATTGTGGATAATGCTGCTTTGAACATGTGTGTATTTTTTGTTTGTTTGTTTAGTATCTGCTTTCAATTCTTTGGGGTATATACCTAGAAGTGGAATTACTGGGATCATATGGTAACTCTACATTTAACATTTTTAAGGAACTGCCAAACTGTTCCACAGTGTATGCACTATTTTACATTCCCACCAACCATGCATGAGGGTTCTAGTTTCTCCACATCTTCATTGACACGTTATTTTCTATTTTATTTTTATTATAACCATCCTAATGGGTGTGAAGCTGTATCTCATTGTGGTTTTGATATACATTTCCGTAATGATGTTGAGCATATTCTAACATGCTTGTTGGCCATTTGTATATCTTCTTTGGAGAATATATATTCATTTTGCCCATTTTAAATTCAGGTGGTTTGTCTTTTTGTTGTTGAGTTATAAGAGTTTTTATATATTATGAGAGAAAAAAAGAAGAAAGAAATGAAAAACCTCTCTTACTCTGCAGATCTATGAAGTTTCAGTGCTTCATCAGGGCATTTCCAGCTCTGCCTTAGCCTTCGCTTCCTATCTGTGCTGAACAAGAGATCAGCCAGAGGTGAAAGCTTGTCTTCTCAGGTCTTTTCTGAGCCTTTGTCTTGTGTTGGGCATGCACAATACTTTCTAAATTCCCCAGTATATATGGATACTTTTGAATGCTCTAATTGCCCAAAGAAACTTTCACCCTAGCTTTTCCTCCCAGCTTTTATTAAGAGCATGTCTATCATTGTCCTCAGTTGTAATCTTTTGCCTGAGGCAGCTGTGGGTCTTCCTTTGCCTACACTGTCTTCCAGGAGTGCATTCTGAGTCAAACAGACAAGTGTTTATAATTGGAGTCAGTCTTGCAGATAACCCTCAGATGTGTCAGAACAGACAAACACAATGCTGGGAGAACGAGGGCTGCTCCCTCAGGAACCAAAGGCCAGGGCCGCATACTGAGGACACAGGCTGCTGCCTTCAAGGCCTGCCTTGCTCGGGAAGGAGCCGAAGGAAGGGCACAGAAAACACAAAGCTTTCCTGCCACACTGATGTTGCTTTTTCTCTGATTGTGCATTTGCTTGGTTGGCATAAACCTTTTCCAGAGTTTGGATAAAGTTGATTCTGTCTTTGCTCAGTTCATCAATGTTTCTGGGGAGAGACAGGCCCTTGGGACTACTAACTTTTCCATTTTCACTGATATCTGGGGTCTGAATGGGTGATTCTTATTTCCTTCAATTAAAGAAAAACTTCCCCCTCTCCTATTATTCAATGAATATTTACTGAGTATCTGACACTGAATAAAGCAGGCACTGTGTATGTCCTTGGGGAGCTGTCTTCCTAGTGTTGCTCCACTAAGATGGTTTTAGATAGTCATTGATGCTAAGAAGTAAATGCTGGGTTGTACATGGGTGTCTTATTTAACCTGGGTGGAATCAGGGAAGACTTTCTGAGGAGGTAGCATTGAAGCTCAGACTTGAAGAAGAGAGAGGAGACAAACAGACCAGTGCCCTGAGGTCAGAAGGCACTCAGAGGGTTCATGGGGCAGAAAGGAGGCGAGAGGCGTGATGGGAGTGAGAAGAGTAACCAGAGAACAGATGGGAACAGTCAGCACAGGTCACATCATGAAGGGTCCCTCTTCTGTTTGTAGTGTTGGCCTAGAATCTTAGCCTCGGGTTCTTACAACCATGGGGAGTTGGCAGCCTCACTTCCAAAAGATTCCAAGAATGTGTGCTGGGCAATCTGTGTGTGCTCACCACCAGAGTGGTTCTTCACCCGTCCCTGCACCGCTCTATGCCCTGGAAGGCTGACCTCTATACACTGGATCAACCTGGTTGCTTGGGTTCAGCTCTGGCAGGAGATCTGCGACCTGGAGGAGAGGAAGAACTAGGTGTATACCCCCTGGCTCCCACCATGTTGGTCTCTATCTCTCTACCAAAGCCTGGAACTTCATCTCTCCAAACTCCAGGACCGCTTCGTCCCCAGCAACTTCCGGCCTGGGCTCGTAACAGCCCCCACAACCCAGGAGTCACCATCCCTTGTTGATTTTCCTTCATCCTGTCCATGACTCCTCAGTTGTGCCTCTTAAGGACAACAGCTGTGTGACAGGTGACTAATACAGGCATGTTTTGCTGTTTTTCTGAGCTCAATTTCAGGTTATCAAGTCCTACACCATATTAAATGCTTCCAGGATGAAGTCCTTAAACACATCCAGGGTCCTTCACACGCATAATTCCCTATCCCTAGCTTGCCTTTCCTCCGTCGTCTTCTCAGACTTTTGGAGTCAGATATAGTCAAACCTCGGTTCTTGACCATCTTGGTTCTTGAACAGTTTGTTTCTTGACCAAGTTTTTGGACAAAGAAGTCTCAGTTATCTCACAAAACTTCAGGTCTTGATTCTCTACCCGATGATCCTTTTGTACTGATACCTGTATGATCATCAGGCGCCTCTCAGGCAACAAAGGAGATTCAGTTTTTGAACAAATTGCTTCTAGAAGAGTTTTTCCGAACAAATTAAGTTTGATGACTGAGGTTCCATTGTATCTGGAAGGGATCTCTCAATTCCGTCTCATACACATCAAAGCCAAGAATCTCTCAACTCTCTTATATACACACAGGATAGAACCACAAAAATAGACTGAATGAATGTTTTTTTGGCTTGGTTAGACTTGGTTGTCTAACCAAGAAATATTTATGGTTCACTGTATATCAAGCACTGTGATAGGCATTGGGAACCTGCAGGAGACGAGAAGGACCCCAGCCCTGCACCTCTGGGGGAAGAGAGCTGGATGAATTCAGTGAATTCAAGCATGTTCTGTGATCCCCCTTGACCCAATCTAATTGACATTTACAGAATATTATACCAAGTGATGGCAGAGTGTTGTTTGTATATTTTAAGGAACAATAGAATGTAGATCAAGATATACTGGGCCATTAAAAAAATCAATAAATTTCAAAGGATTGAAATTACATGGAGTATATTGTCTGACCACAAAGGAATAAAATAAAAAATCACCAACATGGGTTATCAAAAAAGCCCAAATATTTATAAATTAAGTTACATCTAAATAAACTATAGCTCATAGAAAAAATTCACAAGGGATATAAGGATGTTTTAACAATGATAGTAAGATGTAATTAAAGCAGTGCTTTAAGGGAAATAATAGCTTTAAATGCTTAGAAGATAAAGGTTTAAAATGAGTGACCTAAGCTTCCATCTTAAGCTAATAAAAGAAGAGCCAATTAGACACAAGGTAAATAGAAGAAAGAAAAAGATAAGACCAAAAAGCAAAGAAATAGAAAACAAAATAGAGAAAAACAAAGTCAAAAGTTGGCACTTTGAAAAGATTAACAAAACTGATTAATTTCTAGCAAGACTAATCAAGGAAAAAAAGAGAAAAAGACAATTTACATTACCAAGAGGAAACATCACCACAGACCCAACAAACATCAGAAGAATAACAGGAGACAAAAAAAGAAGAAGAATAACAGGAGGACCCTGGCCAGGTAGCTAAGTTGGTTAGAACATCATCTGGATATGCCAAGATTGTAGGTTCGATCCCCATTTAGGGAACATATAAGAATCAACAAATGAATGCATAAAGTGGAACAACAAATCAAACTCTTCCCCCCCACTCCTGCTCCCTACTTTAATATAAATTAAAACTGGGAAAGTGATAAGAAAACATTAACAATTCTGTACCAATAAGTTCTACAACTTAAATGGACAAATTCCTTGGCAAAAAGCATGATTGAAATAAAAGAAATTAAAAGACACTACAAAAGAAGTCAACAACGGGATTTTTCTAAGTCTAGAGGAGTCTGGAAAAGATTTCCCAGAAGTAATATTTAAGCTGAGACCTGAAGGAGTGGGATTTGACCAGGGTGATAGAATTGTGTCCCAGGCAGGAGGCACAGCATGTGCAAAGACCCTGAGGTTGGAATGAGGTTTGTGTGTCCAAAGAAAGTCTACTCTAGTGGCCCTTTTTGCTGTTTGGTGAACACACACTTATGGATGTAAGTCCCTCCTGGGTGTAAACCTCCAGGTGGACTCACTTGATTTGAACAGAACATTAGAGACCAAAGCAAACCTAAAGGTCAAACAAACCTTTGGGCTGGAAATGGGGGAAGGCAGTCTGTCCTGCAAAGTATATCATTGCCCCAGTTCTGGAGCTAGTGTTTCACCTGGCTGGTGAAGCTCCTGAGGCTTCTCTGTGCCTTCACGCTGGAAATGCTCACCCCTTCTTGGCATTGTACTTCATGCCACGAGTTCTTTGGCTCTTCTGTGTTCTCCTCTTATTCCCTTTCTACAAAGCAGTAAGACGAGGCTTCAGAGAAGGACCATGTCTTGCCTGAGGTCACAAAGGCCAAGCCCTAACCACCATGCCCTACCACCTTGCACCTGACGTGTATCAACTCTGGCACTCGCTGGGCTGCGTTGTATGTCTTGGGCATGGGTTTCCCAAGCAGCCCACAGTCCTTACCCTTCCTCGTGCCTGGGAGGCTTTTCAGGGGTAGAAGAATAAATACACCTCGACCATTTCATTTGTCCCTTCCATCTGCAGAACCATGACCACCAAGGCACAGAGAGGTGCCAAATTCTGATGGGTGCTAGTGGAAGGGGTGGGGGAGAGGAGGGAGTCTCTTTCCGTACTCAAGTGTGGGTGCAACTTCCTGCCAGTGAGGAAACACTCTGCTAAAATCAGCCCAGCTTCTCCTTTCCCTGCTTTGGTCTCACAGGAGGAGTTGTGGCGATCCGTGGGCCACGCTGGCCTCAGCCAGGTTGCCGGGCCAAACGCTGGAGAAACGATGCCCTGGACTGTCCTGCTCTTTGCAGCTGGTGAGCCTGACGCCCCTGCACCATGCCCAAACTGCTCCCCCATGCCTGCCCACCTCTCCTCTGCTGTGGGGGCAGGAACCATGGCCTGGGGCTGACCTCCTTGGGTGCTAAAAGAGGCTGAGCCCTGATCGATTTGCCCCAGAGCCTTGGAATTGTCCCAGGAGCGTGACTTACTTTTATTGGGCTCCTCTTTAACCCCACATCATGGATACAGAAATGTCACCCCACTGGAGAGAGCCATGCCCACATCCCATGACTCAACATGCTTGGCCTCTAAGGCTCCCATCTCCAGGGCCAGAGCAGCAGACCTGCGAGGGGACAAGGGAAGGCTCGTGCAGACCTCACTGGGCCAGACACACACTGTGCTCAGGAGCCTGGGGGCAGCTGGGGAGAAAATGGCCCCTCCTGTAGGAAACTGACCCCACAATCTACATTCCTCACCGCAGCCTGGAGAGCAGGAACCTCTCTGTTCTCCCCTCCTCCCACTGTCTCCCTTCCCCACCCCCTCCAGCGACCCTGGCCTCCTTGAATACCCCACGCCCCTCTCAGCCTCCCAGCCTCTGCCTGAGTTGTCCCCTCTGCCCGAAATGCTTTCCCTCAGCTCATCTTGTGTCACTTCTTCAGGGAAGCCTCTGTGGCTACCCCAGCTAAGGCAGCCTTCTCGTTGCTCTGATGTGCTGCACAGCGTTTCTTGCCTCCTTGAGAACGTCGGCTCTCTGAGGCACGCTTGTGTGTGCCTCTGTCCCCCGCACCTAAACAGGGCCTGGCACATAGTCAGTGCCATTGATTGAAGTAATGAGAATGTAATTGCATTGCTGTGTCATAACCACTGCAATTATTTTTAAAAAATGACTCAGCCCAGGCTGGGTAGCTCAGTTGGTTAGAGCGTCCCCTTGATGCCCCAAGGCTGCAGCTTCCACCACTGTCCAGGGCACAGCAGTGATGACAACAGATTGATGTTTCTCTCTGTCTCTCTTCCTTCCTCTCTCCCTAAAATCAATCAATAAATTTATGCCTGGGCTGGGGTGGCTCAGTGGATTGAGCGTGAGCCTGCGAACCAAAAAGTTGCTGGTTCCCGGTCAGGGCACACGCCTGGCTTGCGGGCCAGGTCTCCATTTGGGGCCCTTGAGAGGCAACTGATTCATGTTTCTTTCACACGTTGATGTTTCTCTCCCTCTCTTTCTCCCTCTATTCCCCTCTCCCTAAAAATAAATAAAATCTTTTAAAAAATAAAATAGGTAAATTTTTTTAAAAAGCTCAAATGCAGTCACCCCTCACCAGGTGCTGGGCACTTGATTCCCTTAACACCGCAGCCGGGTAGGGATGACTAGCCTCCAGCTGTGCATAAAAAGCAAGGCCCACAGAAATCTTATCAACCAGTTTGAATCTATCTTGATCTGAATTGTCTTCTAGAATATGTAAAATGTAGTAAATAAATACATCTTCCATGTTACATGAATAATAAGAACTTTTATAATCTTATATTTGCCTTTGATGCATTTTCCTCTTGAAATGATCAACTGTGTGTTTGACAAGTGAAAAAAATATAAATCTGTAATCAGTTGGGAAAACAAAAACAAACGGGGGCCTGAAAGGGTGAGCCACTTGCCCAAGGCCACACAGCCAGGTTGGCCCCCGCTTTAACCACCCACTAACCCAAGGCCTCCCTTATTCTGCATTATAGGCTCCATGGCGATCCCAGCGCCATCCATCCTGCTGGTGCCCCCGCACCCCAGCAGTCAAGAAGACCCCATCTACATTGAATGCGTGGCCCCCCTGGGCTTCCCAGGGGCCAATTTTACACTGTACCGAGGGGAGAAGGTGGTCCAGCTCCTGCAGGCCCCTGCAGACCAGCTCAGTGTCACATTCAACCTGAGTGGTGGCGCCTGGGAGGCTGCAGGGGGAACGACGTTTCATTGCCAGTATGGTGTGCTTGGCGAGCACAGGCAACCGCAGCTGTCCGATCTCAGTGAGCCTGTGCATGTTTCCCTCCCAGGTAAGGCCCTCTCATCAGCCCTCATCAGCCTGGGGCTCCGTTTTCTCACTGCCAAGCCTTTCCATGGGATGGTAATCATCATCGGACAGGCCAGGCTTCCGGCTTGCCAGGACTTACCTTCCCACATTTAATCGTTTCAATCACCCCGTGCAATGGGTATTGTGATTCTCCCCATTTTGCACAGAAGGAAACCAAGGCACAATAGATGAAGGGACTTGTCCAAGGGACACGGCTAGCAGGCAGCAGAGTTGGGCTTCCAGTGGCCTCCAGAACCCAAGCACCGAATCAGCCTGCCCTGCTGCCTCCCTCTGCTCCGGGCCACAGAACAGTTCAGAGCACCTGCTGTGCGCCAGGCACTGTCTTTAGCAGTGCAGGTTCAGCAGTAACTGAAATAATATCCCTGCCCTCTTGTAGCTGACATTCCAAGGCAATGGAGACAGACAATAAACAAGGAGTCTGATAATTATTGGATCTGCCAGCAGGGGGCAAGTAAAATGCCAAGGATGAAATACAGCCTAGTGAAGGGTGTCATTTTAAATACAGAGGAGAGTGGCCAGTGAGCGCCTCTCTTAGGAGACAATGTTTGGGAAAAGACCTGAATGATAAGGAGCCACCCATGTGAATGGCTGGGGCGGGAGGTTCCACATAGAAGGAACAGGCTGCGCAAAGGCCCTGAGGCTGGGGTATACCTAGTATGTTTGATCAACATGGAGGTGCCCTTGATTGAAGCCAAGTGAACAAAGAGGAAAGTGGGGAGAGTTGAGGTCAAGGAAGTGGCCTAAAGGACCTTGCAGGGGCCTGTGGCTGCAGAAAGGACCCTGGCCTTTTGGATGAGTGGGACAGAAGTCCTGGGAGGGCCGCTGTTTCCTCGGGAGCAGGGGGAAGGTGTAGGCTTTGGATCTTGAGCGGAGGGAGGGAGGAGCCTCCTGGTGGAGCCTCGGTGTCAGCATGAATCTTTCCAGCTGCAAAGAGAACTTTGTTGCCAGCAGAGGCTCACAGGTTGTGATGACAGAGCAGTCTCTGTGTCCTCCCTGGCCTTAGAGTTCCACTATCAAAGGCCCCCTTCTCTCACCTTGGTCCTGTGGTCTCAGAGTGAGGAGGTGACAACCACCTCTTCCCCCACCCTGGCCCCAGGTGAATGAACGAACAAGGCTAATACTGTGAGAACACCAAGTGTGCGTCCTTCCTTCCCATCACTGGCTTAGCTCCTGCCCTCTACCGGCGTCAGGGCATCTGCTCTCGGCTCCCCTGAGAGACTCCTTTCTCTCTGGGGAGGAGCAGCCGGATCCTTTGCAGAGAAAACTCTGGGGCTGGGGCTTCATGTTTCTGTGGCCGGCCTCCGTGTGGGCCTGAGGGGGCCACCCTGTGGTGGAGGGTGGATGTCCCCTGATTCTCTCATACTCATGCTGAAGCCAGCAGAACTGACTCTTCAGGCTGCAAGTAACTGAAAACTTGACTCAAACTGGTTTCAATCACAAAAGGGGATTTGTTGGATCCTCGTGACCAAGGGTGTCAGGGATCATTTGCCATCTCTCAGTTCAGCTTTCTTCTGTGTCTTATTCTCAGGCAAGCCTTCCCCTCACGGTGGCAAAATTGTGCCCAGCAGATCCAGATGTACATCCTACCAGCTTGATGTGTATATTAAGATGTATATCCCAACCAGTAAACCTCTCCTCCTAGTGGCCTGTCGAGTCTCAGAATTAGCTTTCAGTCCCTCAGCTTGAGTTGCGTGCCCATCTCTGAACCAATCACAATGGCCAGGGGGCGTGATTTTGTTAATTGACTAGATATAAGATTTGCTGGATCCCTAGGATCCAGCTACACCCAAGCCACACAGTGGGGGGGGGGGGGGAGAGGGAAGAGACTGCCTCTGCTAAGATAACCTGGAGGAATGACAGTTGTCGTGCCTCTGCAACTCCATGACCTGCCCATTCTCTCTTTTTCCATTTTTCTCTAGTGCCTGCCTGGATCTTGGCTCTCTCCTTGAGCCTGGCTGGAGCCCTCCTCCTTGCTGGGCTGGTAGCTGTTGCTGTGGTGATCAGGAAAGGTAACAGCAGGCAAAGAAAGAAAGCGTGGCCCACAGGCTGCCAGTGTGCCACTCCCGGAATGTGTAAACGCACTTCCGCTCACATCCATCTTTTAGGAGCACAGAAGTTAGCAGCACAGAGCTTACTCCGTAACTTAGCAATGAAGAACCTTCCAGAAGTACAACGATGATGATGGGCAGGGGGGAATATATATTTTTTATTATGGTCAAATATACAAAATATAAAAGTTACCATTTTAACCCTTTTTAGCGTCCAGTTCAGCAGCATGAAGCACACTGACATTGTCGTGCAGCTGTGACCAGCACTACCACCTGCAGGATTCTTTGATCTCAAACTGAAGCTCTTTCCCAATGAAACATGAACTCCCCATCCCCCTCCACCCAATCCCTGACACCCAATGAAATTAATATTTTTTAAAGCAATTTTACATGCTTGTATCTTGTTTGAAGTTTTAACCAACATACATCACTCATGTACTTGGGGGAAATAACTGTTTGCAGTAGTTCTCCTGTAGAGCAGCAGATTTGCCAGGGGAGAAGGCAAAGGCAGGGGGGCAAGTGTCTGAGGGGGGCTTTTGGCTTTTTGGTTTTAGAAACTTGCAAACAGGATGCACCCAGGACCAAAATCTAACATTTATTTTTTGTTCCCCAGTTAAAGTAAAAAAAATGCAGAAGAAAAGGTGAGACCATCCCTGGAGACCCTCAGACAGTGGTTTTGGGGAAAGAAATATTGAATCTCAGGGCAGGAGCTCCTGATGGGTGTTAGGGGCTCTGAGAGCTGGCCAGGTTCGGGGAACAGAGGGGCACTTCCCTGGCCGTGTGGGAGCTCCCCTCTGCGGGGTGGGGGCCCAGGGCACTGCGCTAGGGGGCTCTGAAGCCGGACTCCTGTTGTCCTCATAGCAGCCCTGGAAGCAAGCACTATAAATAGCCCCATTTTACAAACAAGGAAACTGAGGCAAGGGGAGCAAATGGCTGAGCCTTCCTCATACCCTTTTACTGCCAGCTGCCAAAGACGGTCTAATCACTCTAGAAATCACAGGGGGAGAAGGCAAGCGGCATCCCCCTAGGGTTGTGCAGTGCCCAGCTTGATGCCCCGGTTCCTGGGCATCAGGGTGTCCCAGCTGGTCCCAGCCTTGGTTTCCCTCCTCTAAGAGAGGGCGGATACCCTGCTGCCTAGCGGCAGAGAGCTAGCAACAGGCCTGGGATCAAAGCCTGACTTTTTCTGGCTTGTGGGGCTCTGGCAAGAGAATTTCCATCTGAGGGGATTCAGGGTGGGTAACGAACAAAGGTCAGGGTTGGGGCCTGGAAAAGGCCTCTTGTCTGAGACAGCATCACTCTCTTCCCAATCTCTTCGCAGAGAGCAAGAATCCTGCTGGGCCCAGATTAACTTCACCACCACAGGTTCGTGCTTCCTCCTTGCTCCTCTGTCCCTCCCCCAGCTCCCAGGTGGAGTTCTCTACCTCAAAACACCACAGGCCTCACTACTCACTAACGAAGCTCTTCTGGGGTTGATTGCTTCCCTTTGGGGCAAGAATATACCCCTCCTTTCCAAGTCCCCTCCACCCCAGGTTTCACCTCCCACCTTCTGTCCTCGCCCCATCCTTGGGCCTTTCGTGCACTCTGCCCTCTGCCTAGAGCACTCTTCTTCCTTCTGATCTCAGTCTGAAGGTCATCTCCGGGAAGTCTTCCTTGACTCCCTAGACAGGGTCTGCGCTGTCTACCTACATGCTCCCAGCAGGCACCCTGTCACCTTTCTTATGCCTTAGTAGAAACACAGTCAAGTAATCATTGCCTGTTGGGTACACAGTATTTGCCTCCGCTGCTGGACAGTCAGCTCCACAAGGGGCTGCGTCTGCCGTGTCTGCTTGCCCGCCCCCCCCCCCCCCCCCCCCCCCCCCGTACCTGCCAGCATCTTCAAACGGAGCTCTACTTGTCCAAACGTCATTCTGCCGGCTTCCACCAGGGGGCAAAGGGCAGCCCGTCTGTGATGTGCGATGCTCAAGGAGGGGCTCCAAACCGAGAAACTCCGTTCTTGTACTTTTTTCAATGTCCCACACTTTTGTCGAGCACCTACTATGTGTTGATATCTGCGGGGCCCCCTCGATGAGCAAGACAAAAATGATCTCTGCTCACAAGCTCACACTTCAGTGGGGAAACAGCAGGTACGGCAGGCACCTGCCTGGGGCTATTAGGGTTTCCCTAAAGAAGTGACGTTTAAGCAGAGACCTGCAGGAGGCGCTTAAGGAGAGCCTGTTGGGGTGAAGGAGCTAAGAGGTGTTTCCAAAATCGGGAGCTGAGATGAGGCATGCATTTTCCGGAGGGCAGCAAGAGGCTGCTGAAGAAGGGCTCAGAGTAGAAGAGGGACGATGCAATTTGCAGCTGTGAACGGTTCACGCTGCAGATGAGCGGGAAGGGAGCAAAAAGGATGCCTGGGGATGGACAGTGTTGACAGTGGGCCTGTGGGCTTTGGGGGAGGGGGTTGAGCAGGGAATTTAAACTGGTCCCAGTCCTAGTTTTCCTCTCTCTTTCTTTTCCAGACATGTCCTTTGATAATTCCCTGTTTGCCATCTCAACGGTAAGTCGTTTCTTTTCTTGGTCCCGGTTTTTTGCCTATCCCCAGGGAGGGTGGAGCCACCACCAGGCTGGATTGACCTGTTGTCAGGGTGGGAAGGAAAAACCCAGAATCACTGAGCAGGGATTTGTCTGTGAGCTGAGATTTGGCTGTGAGGTATCCTGGGGGATTAGACGCGGCCACGTCCAAGCCCCTGTGTGACAATGGGCAGGCCCCTAGGGGTGCTTGCTCTTGGGGCCAGCACTGTCTTTGCATTCAGTCTGGCCACCTCCCCAGGATGGTGACAGAGGGGATTCAGGGGGGATCTGGTGGCTTTTTTGGGGTCGTGGAGCTTTGTGACAATCTGATGCACAGTATAACCCCCTCCTGGTATAAAGAAAACCTTACTTTGTGTTGTTTCTGGGATTTCAGCTTAAATGTTCTAGTTGTGCATTTGCCCTTTTAGTGGGGAGGGTCTCACTGCACCCCTCCTGCACTGAGGGGTGTTGCTCCCCCAGACCATACTTTTTTGGACTGGGATTTGAACCCCTCTGCACAACTGCATCTTGGGGTGGCCTTGGTGTTTGCACTTTATTACTTTTTTTAAAAAAAAACTAAATTAGAGATGTCTGAGCCAGGGACACCTTGGATCAAAAAATGTTGAGCTGCTCCTCTTCACATGGAGAGGAGCACAGGTTAGGGCAAAGGTGGCCCCACTCAAGGCGGCCTCAGAGGCCCCACTTGGATGGGTAGACACTTTGGGGCTGCTGTCAGCCCCGGGGCAGAGTCGTCTGCCTGAGGCACCGTGATGGGCAGTGGGGTGAGGGCATCGGGTCAAGGGCAGGAGGAGGCCCTGACTCCTTCAGAGCTTCTTAATTTTATGGGGGGAGATAGATGATGCCACATGGGCCAGGAGGGACCAGAAGACTTCCTTCTCACATAGACAGGAGATTCCGGGGGGGTCTCAGAGATGGGCGACAAGCAGGAGGTAGCTGCGGAAGATTGATCCAGGCTTGGGACACTTTTTTTTAAAGATTTTATTTATTTTTAGAGAGAGGAAGAGAGTGAGAAAGAGAGGGAGAGAAACATCAATATTTGGTTGCCTCTCATGTGCCCCTGACCTGGAATCAAACTGGCAACCCTTTGGTTCTCAGGGCGGTGCTCAATCCACTGAGCCACACCAGCTAGGGCTGGCATATGTTCTTGACACAGCACATGTAACTGGGGTAGAGTGGAGTGAGGAGTTGTCAGGCCATGTGGAGAACTTTGACTTTTACCCCAAGTGAGGTGGGAACCATGAAGGTTTCAGAGCAGAGAAGGGATATAACCAGATTCAGGTGCTCACAGGCTGTGGAGACAACAGACTTGGAGGATGTGGATGGATTGGTCCAGGCATGCAAAGTGGTTTTGGTCCAGCTTGTTGTCAGCAAAGGAGGAAGAAACAAACAGATGCAGGTCAGGTAGATTCAGCAGATGGGAAACACGGCATTGATTTTTGACTGGATGAGCGGGCTGAAGAAGGAGAAGGCATGTGGGGAGTCTTGGGGAGAGACAGCTTGGAGGGATAAGGGAAGGCCACCTCCTTTGGTTATGCCCAAGAGCAGGTGGAGACATGAGTCTGGAATTCTGGAGAGAGGAGTAGGGAAGTTTAAACTGGCCCCCAGTCACTGGTGTACAAACAGTGGCAGTGAAGGGGCTTGGTGCTGGGCTGTTTGGCTTTCTGAAGTCTCTGCTCCCAGAACAAATCCTGAGTTGTTAAGAAAATGTTGACAGGCAGGGCAGGTTCTAAAACTTTCCGTGTGAAACCACAGGCTCAAGGCGCCAGTCTGGTGATTTTTTCCTTCTTCCTTTTTAAAAAAGACATTTAAAATGAAACAATGGAAAACAGAACAACTTATTTCTTAGTATCTTAGACCTGGTGACTATATATACTTTTATTTTTTGCTATATATTTTTTTAATTAAAAACATTTAAAATATGAAATACGTCCCTTTGCCAAAATTATACACACAGTATTTTTTTTGGATTTTTTTTTAATCACTTACCCATTCTCTACCCATTGGTTTCCTTCTCTACACACACAGGAGTAACCACTGACTACTGTTAGGAGCTTCTTCCAAAATGCAAGCAAAAGTGAAAATTGCAAATCTATATCCTCGCCCTTTTAAACACAAATGATAGCATGATATTTACATTGTTATATATGGTATATATGGTGCTTCTTTTCCTTAATAGTAAATTTTATTGATCTTTTCTAGTTTCCTTTTTTATAAATTGTGGTAAAATATACATAATAAAAATATAACATTTTTGCCATTTAAAAAAATTTATTGATTTTAGAGAGAGGAAGGGAAAGAGGAACATCAACTTGTAGTTCCACTTATTTATGCATTCATTGGTTGATTCTTGAATGTGCCCTGACTAGGGATGAAACTTGCAAACTTGGTGTATCAGGACATGACTCTAACTAATGAGCTATCTGACCAGGGCCTCATTGTACCCATTTTTCAGTGTGCAGTTCTATGGCATTAAGTACTTTCACATTATGCATCTATCACAGCTATCCATTTAAAAACTTTGTCTTGGAAAACTGAAACTCCGTTCCCACTATACACTGACTCCTCAGTCTTACCTCTTCTCCCAGCCCTTGGCAATTACCCTTCTACTTTCAGTCTCTGTGAATTTGCCCTATTTGGGGCCCTCATCCTTTTTGTATCTGGCATATTTCACTCAGCATAATGTTTTCAAGGTTCATTCATGTTCTAACGTGTCAGAATTTCCTCCCTTTGTAAGGCTGAATAGTATTCCATTGTATGTGTATACCACATTTTGTCTATCCAGTCACCCACTGATGGACGCTTGGGTTGCTTCCACCTTTTGGCTATTGTGAATAATGTTGCAATGAACATGGGTGTGCAAATATCTGTTTGAGTCCCTGCTTTCAATTCTAGTTTCTTTTTGAAGAATTAGAAAGCTGTGCTGTTGGTTGAAATGAAAAGGAAGCAGCTGACCAGTCTCTCAGCTTGTACTGTCTTATTACTCTAAGGATCTGATATTTACTTTATAACATCCTATAAAGTGCAGTTGACTTAAAAAAAAAAACATACACACAAGAAGACTGGAGCTGGTTATGTGCCTTACTGGGGTTGCCTTACTGGGATCACCCAACTAGGGAGGAGCAGGTCTGAGAGTGGAACCCCAGCCTGCTCTCACCTGCCAGGCTTCAGTTTTAGCAAATTCATCTCTTCATGACTGGCATTGAGAGCAGGAGCCTTCAAGGCAGAGGCAAGGGTAGATTTCTGAGGAAGTCCAGAATGGGAGGAGATAATTGCAATAGCTTTGTTCACTGAACGCTTACAATGTGATGCATCAGTGATTTAATTCCTTTATGCTTCATAGCAACCCCATGAGGGGGGTATTAGTGCTCTCCCTATCATGCAAAAGGGGAAACTGAGCACTGAGGAATTAAGTTATTTGACTGAGGTCATACCACTAGCAAGTACTGGAGCTGGGATTTGAACCCAGGCTGCTTGGTCCCCTATTCAGCAAAGAGAAAGGCAGGAGGACAAATGGCAGATCCCCAGGCTCTGAAGCTGTGGGGTACGTGTAGGGGGTAGATGAGAGGGAGTCTACCATATGGGGAGTCTCAGACTCAGAACATATGGAAACCCTGAAACACCAAATCACCCAGTTCTGTTTTTCTTCCACAGACAAAGGAAATGACTTCAGAAGGAGACGCAGTCACCCTGGATGCTTACTCAGGCTCTGCTGCGACCCCTGAAAACTCTGGGCCCCGGAAGAAGTCCATCTCCACACTATCCTCACCTGAGCCCCCCGAATTCAGCACCTTCCGGGCCTGCCAGTGAGGCTGAGGATTGCGGCCCCTCTCTATGTACTCTGCTCTCCTCTCTCACTTGATCTGGCCAGGCTGTGTGGGGCCCGACGTCCCTCCAGACACTTTGGGGAGGGGGGCTATGGCTACTGCTTTCTCAGGGAACTGAACAGGATGTCTGGCCTTGGCACCTTCCTCACAGAGGAGCAGGAGCAGAAGAGTGGGAGCAGACATTGGCCCGGAGGCTGGACAGAAAGCAGGAAACCTCTCTTTGGCTTCTCAGCTTCAAAGACCACCAGGGATGTAGTTAGGACCTCTTCTGGTACCCGGCTGGGCCATAAAAGGTCTGAGCTCTCTGAGCACCCCTCTGGTTTCCTCATCCCTTGCCATACCTGACTTGGACAACCCAACTGGGTTTTTGGAGCATAGGGTACCCTGGGGTATGTTCTGTGTGTCTGCCTTGCTGGTATGCCTAAGTTATTAATTATAGCATATGTTGAGCTGGTCCCAAGACCTCTATAAAGTGTAATCCTTCAAGCCCCAGACTTCTGGGGTCTAATCACTGGAAGCCTGGTGGGTGGGGGGAGTACCCCTTAACTGCAGTGCAGACGAGGGTGCTTAATAGGGAAGGCGATAAAGGTGTGGGAAGAGGACAGTGCCACAGGGAGTCTCTGGTGAAGTCATGGCGTTATTGGGTACAGGAGGTGGAATGATCGGGAAGGAGGATGAAGAATATTGGGGAAAATGAATAGTAACTGAGGAGGTCCAGGGAAGAGTGGGAACTGGGGAAGATGGGAAGTGGCCGCAAGCCTGAGTTCCCCAAAAGGGGCCCTGGAGCAGAGGAAGGGGGCACTGGAGGGAAGATGGGTGTGTGTGTGTCAGAAAAGGTGCACTTGGCCATGCCCTGCTGGCCTCACTAGCCAGCCATCACTGGGGGAAGGCAGAATAACTAGGGGCTAAGGGAGGCGTCCAGAAGGAGAGGGCCAAGAATTTTTTGTGACAGAGGATATAGTGAAGGTCTGAGGATGGAGGTGGGGAGCGCTGTGGGACGGGAATGGAGAGGATGGGGAGGAGAAATGACGGGGAAGAGAGAAGGAATGCTTGAATGCTGTGGGTTCCCACGGAGTTCAGGTCCTGTGTAGAGGACAAGTCCCACCTGGAACTGTTTTTCCAGGCGGGTGGGTTCGGGGGTGGGAGGGTGGCCACGGACTGGGAGGTGGTCCCAGGCCGTGGCCCCGCCCCTAATCACCGTTCTTCCGAAGAGCCCTTCGCCTTCCAAAGTGAGGCCCAGCGGGAGGGAGCAGGGCGGGCTTAGGGGCGGGGCCCCGCCCCAGCCTGGACTCCGCCCCTCTCTGCACGCCACCTCAGAAAGCCCAGCAGGGCCAAGGGGCGGAGCCCAGTTTCAGGGGCGTGTTGGAGCCGTCGGGCTTCAGACCCACTCCCACAGTTTCTCCGGCTGGGGAGCCTCCTCACAAAGCGAGGTCGTTTCGCGGGGCGGAACCCGGGGCGTGTCTGTACGGCCGAGCACCGCCCACTGACGCTCTCCTACCCCGCCCCCCTCGGGCAAGGAACCCACACCGCCTTAGAAAGTGCGGCCGTTTCCCCGCGCCAAGCTGGGGGCGGGACTCAGGCTCAGGGGCGTGTCCGCGGGGCCGAGCACCGCCCCTTGACGCACGTTCCGTCCCCCTTGCCGTTCCTGGGCCACCGACCACCTCACAAAGCCGCGACCGTTCGCGCTGGGCGGGGCCGGGGCGTGGCCGACCCCTTCCCCAGGCGTGTCCGGTGCTCGGCGTGCTCCCTCTCCGGCGCCTAGGACTGCCGGCAGGGGGCGCTGCGCCACGGGTCCGGGTCGTCGGCAGTGGCAGCGAGGCGGCGCGTGGCCCGCAGGCGGCGCTGCCCGGCTCTGTTTCGGTCTTGGCCTGCGCGGCGGCGGCGGCGGCGGCGGTGGCGGCGGCGGCCTGGGCCCGGGCGGCGGCGGCGGCGGCTGTGGTGGGGCCTGGAGCCGGATCTAAGATGGCAGCAGCGGCGGCGGCGGCTGGGCCGGGCGCGGGCGTTGTGGGGGTGGCGGGCCCGGGCGTCGCGGGGCCCTGCGCGGCAGTGTCGGTGTTCTCCGGCGCCCGCCTCCTCACCATTGGCGATGCGAACGGCGAGATCCAGCGGCACGCGGAGCAGCAGGCTCTGCGCCTCGAGGTGCGCGCCGGCCCGGACGCGGCAGGCATCGCCCTCTACAGCCGTGAGTGCGGGGTCCCGGGTCCGGGCCGACGGCCGGGCGGCGCGCGGGGACTGCGCACGAGGCGGGCCGGGCGGGTGGCCAGGGGCGGGAGGGACGCAGCGGCCGTGGTGGGTGAGGGGCTTGGCGTCTCGAGGGTTAGGGGCCCCAAGCCTTGGCGGCCTGGTGTACTGTACGTGGGGCCGAGCTGAGGTAGGCGACTGTGAGTAGCCCCGAGTGAGGGGTGTGGAGGAACGGTATCAAGGGGCAGAGGCAGAAAAGAGGGCGTGCGTGGCGGTCAGAGGTGAGGTGCCCTGTGTACGGAGAGAAGCGGGAAATGGGGGACTGAGGGCACGGAGATTGGGATGGGATGGGCAGGAAGTCGGGGGCCGAGAGTGGAAGGTGAATTCGGAGGGCGTCGGGGTGTGGGGGCTGGGTTGGAGAGAAGGGGGCCTGGGGTGTGGGAGAGGTGGGGAGTCTCTCAGTCGGGTGTGGCCGCCCTGGCCGGAATGGGGACAGAGGAGTGTGGGCAGCCTCTGGCCATCTCAGGGAACCTCCTGGACTGCTAAGGACAGTTGGAAAGTGGTGCCCAGTATCGGGCTGCTTAGAGGGCCAGTTCCACCCATCTAGAGGGCTTGGTGTTGGGACTCCCCCCGAAGGTGAAACTCGTGGATTAGGGCAGTGAGGGGCCCACGTGAGGGCGGTGCGAGCCCCTGGATATGCTTCTGGTGATAACGTGGATGGGCAGGGCCCCGTCTTGATGCCTGGTTGGGAAGAGGTAACACAGCTTTCTCCTGGGCCACATGCCTCTGACCTTCCTTTTAGGGGATGTGAGAAGCTGGGTGCGCTTTCAGAAGCTAGTTTCAAAACTGACGTTTCAGTGGGAAAAAAAGAATCACGAATGTGTTTGCCAAAGACCCGGAGTCTTTGTAGTTCATCCTTTTTCTTTCTCTTGTTACTAATTATCTGTTCTCTCCTATTCTTGATTCCTCCTTCAAATTTTGCTATTCTGTTTCATTCAGCTTTGTCTCTCAGGATTTCTCTCGGGAGCCACTCAGAAGTCTCTTACTGGCTTTGGGCAGTGTGCATTTTGTGTCACTTTGGGGAGGGTGTGTGAAGAGAAGGGTGGGAAGAGCAGTTGGTTTACACAGGGTTCTCCATGCACCTTGACTTGGAAAATCCAAACTCAGTAGAGCTGTGTCTTATTTCCCAAGTGTCCCACCTTTCTGTGCTGGGGCAGAGCTAGGTCTTGGGCCAGATGAGGAGGAGAAGGGTATCCTAGGTGGGCATCAGAGCTCAGGACGGACACCTAAGGTCCATCTTATGATCAGTACGATCCCCCAGATCATAAACAAGGCCATTCATTGTGCAAGCATTAATGGGGAACAGAGTAAAGTAAGGTAGTTTTTCAAACTAGGGTCTCAAAGGCTGACCGACAAAGGAGTTCCAGGAGAGTTGGTTTTTCTTTTGTAAATAAACATCTTTTGATTTTAAAACAGTTTGAGGTTTATAGGGTTATTAGAAAGATAGTGTGGAGAGTTCCTATATATTCCATACCCAGTTTCTCCTATTAGCATCTTTGTCCAGGAGAAATTTTACTTTTTTTTTGTTGTTGATAATCTTGAATAATGAGCTGTGAAGATAACACTTCTCTCTCTCTTTTTTTTTTTCCAGTTTTTATTTATGTTTAGAGAGAGGGGAAGGAAGGGAGACAGACAGGGAGAGAAACATGGATGTGTGAGAGAAACATAGATTGGTTGCCTCTCGCATGACCCCAGCTGGGGACCCAACCCACAACCCGGGCATGTGCCTTAGCTGGGAATCGAACCAGCGAACCGGTGACCCTTCAGTTTGCAGGCCGGCACTCAATCAACTGAGCCACATCAGCCAGGGCAACACTTCTCTTTTCAAGGTAATTCATAACTGAAGTTATCATTCGTAAAGAGGAGAAAGTCCATGTTTCTTCAACTGAGGTCCTTAGCCTGGGATGATACAGTCTCAGGAGTCTGAAAGATTTTTTTCCCCTTTATGTTCACACAACGTTGGTGTGGGGTTGAGAGCAAGGGTTCTGGAGTCAGCTGAACTGGCTTGTGTTAGTTTCCCAGGGCCGCCATAACAAACTTGGTGACTTAAAACAACAAGAGTGAATTCTCGTGTAGTTCCTGGCCCAAAATCTGAAATGAAAGTGCCAGCAGGGCCACGTTCCCTCTGGAAGCTCCTTTCTTGCTTTCCAGTGCCTGTGGCTCCAGGTATTGCTTGGCTTACAGGAACAGAAGTCCAGTCCGTGCTTCGGTCTTCACACAGCGTCGCCCTGTCTCTGTGTCTTTATCTGTGAGGTCACTCATCTTTGGATTTAGGACCCACCCTAAATCCAGGACAATCTTATCTCGAGATCTTTAATTACGTCTGCAAAGACCCTTTTTACAAATAAGCTCATTTTCATAGGTTCTGGGGGTTAGAGGTTGGACACTTACTTATTTTTTTGTCTACTATGTGGGCTAGGCTGGTGCCCTGCCAGTAGCTGTGTGTCTTTGTGACTCAGTTTCCTCATCGGGAGAATGGGGGTGGTGTCGTGACTATTTAGCACAGTGTTTCCTCAATGAAAGAGCAATTCTTCGTAGGTTGCACCTGTAACTGCCTGGAGATGGCCTCAGAGTTGGCTGACTTACTGCTCAGGGTGAGGCAGCACTAGCTCCTGAGAAGACCTGGAGAGTGTGGTACAGAGGGACAGATCGCTATGAAGAGTGCTAGGTGGTACAAAGTCCCAGGGCTGGGGTGTGGGCTGCATGCTGTTCCTGGATCTGAGCGGGCCTGTTGGGTGTGGAGGGCTGGTTGATAGTCCCCTGGAAAAAGTCAGAGATGGTCCAGCCACTGAGGGGATGTGCAGACATGTGGCAGTTGGGTGGGTGGCGGGGGTCGGGTACGGGACTTGGGAATGAACCAGGCTGCTGGGACCTTTAGGCCTTCTCTTGGGATAAACTTCCTTCTCTGGCCTCAGCATTTTCCCACCTGGATCCTTCTGGGACCTGAATGCTTTGGCCAGGTGAAAAAGTGTCAGGATCCCAGTTTTGCTCACCTGTCCCTAATGAGGTGGGGTCCTGCAAGCTGTTTCTGCTTA